AATAGAGAGGTTGAGGCGCACGTTTTAAACGTGTAAACGTGTACGTGTGACGTTCGGCGCCGCTTTCCCGTAAGCCTAAAAGTTTGACGATGGTGTATGGACTGTCGAGCGTGATTCCACCAACTATCCAAACACCATTGTCAAACTTTTAGGCTTACGGGAAAGCGGCGCCGAACGTCACACGTACACGTTTACACGTTTAAAACGTGCGCCTCAACCTCTCTTATAAGTTTAAAATGTGGAACATTATTGTAAAATAAACACAAATATTAAGATTAAAAAAGAAAATTCTAAAGTAGTAATATAACTCTTTCTAACCTGTTACCGGTGCGTCTACTAACTCTTAACGATCCAAAAAAAACGACCAAAACTAACGTTTTCGAACCCCTATAACGGTTCTTCTTCAGGCTTTCTTCAGGTTCTTCGAATCTCTGATGGAAATGCAGCTCGTACCAAACTTTAAATTAAGAGTTAGTAGACGCACCGGTAACAGGTTAGAAAGAGTTATATTACTATTCTCCGGTGTTGTGGTAAAGATGAGTAGTCTAAAGTAGTAAATTAGGAAAAGTAAATAACTACTGTTCTTTGTTAATATCAAAACTTGTAAACTAAAGACTAGTATCAGACATTGATTTTATCAAAACTATAGTTATAAAATTATTGGTAAGTGTTTGCAATGATATCAATAAAAATCAATTAATTTTCTAAAGAAAACATATGAAATTAGAGAAAAGCTAAATTTTATTTTGAATTATTGTGAAACCTTATAACCATACTAAAATTATTTGAATCTACAATGCAGTTTTTTGAAGTTTAAACGATTGTGTGGTATTTTAGTTTCCAGAATATTGTAAGGAAGACTGTTCAAAAATCTTATTCTTATTCTAATCAATGTAGAGTTATGAACTTAAATAATGTAATATATTACTAATTTTCATTTTTCAACTGTCAAATGTACAAATAAATAAAAAATACTTTGAATTTTGTTGCAATATAAGAATTCTTCCTACATCATTCCAAATCATTAAATAAATGTTTCTAAACTGAGAATTGTTAAGTATTTAATCAAAAAATTTATTTTGTTTAATAAAAATTGTTGATATGAAATAACCAGTGGCTTTATTTGTAAAATTTCAGCTCTGAATGAGGTGGTTGGGACCTTATCAGAGCTATAGACCATACCCACAAGACTAAAAATGTCAAAGGATAGTCTAAATGTGATCCCAAATGCAACCTATAAACATATGATAGACTTAATGAAGTATGCAACGCAACACTGATTGCACCCTGGGAATAGTTGGAGCATTTCTCATATTTTAAGCTTTTAGCTATCTTGAGTAAAGTGGAATACAGTTGATTTTATCATTGTTTTGAGAAACACCTCTGGATTTTTTCACTTTTAAATTTTACCCATTTTGAGTATCTTCAAAGTTTCAAATAGGCTGATTTCAGGAGGAGCTATATCTTATAAAGGGTCATGTGTAGACAGAACATTGATTCCTTTGACTTTTTTTACTTTTGTGGGCATGGTCTACAGCCATAAAAAATCCAACCACCTCATTCAGAGCTGCAATTTTATGTTGATTTAATTTATGTGTATTTATTTATATAGACATTGCAAAGTTTTGTAAACTTTTATAAAATGTTCCATGTCTCTCACTTTATGTATTTCCAAGTTTTGTTTTTTTAAATAAATCTTTTAAAAAGCTTTAATCATTATCTTCTAATTAATCTAGGTTTCAATATAAAAAACAAGCACAATGCATTTTTAAAATCTCTATAGCTTCCACCTGAAAAGCACACCCAATTTCATTACATTGCATACCGCTCTGTTTGTTATTGTATGTTCTGCAGAATATGTACAGCATAGTTAAAATTGATAAATAATGCAAACAGTAAACAGGAATTTTTCAAAGCGGTTTAGTATCTACTGCACGTAGACAGATGTTTCAAGAATATAAATGTGTTGATTTAACAACATAAAATTCATAATTCCACACATTTATATAAATATACACAATTCAAATATACTAGAAATCAACGAAACTCGGCACAATTCCGATTAATAAGATAAATCACTCAGTTAAGGAGCATTATCAAAACTTTTTTCCATTTATATGACCGGTTTAACCGTCTATTCCGTCAAATATTTCTTTGTATGTTACGAAATGGTTTTAAAATTATCTAAAATCATTTCATTTATAAAGGTTTGTCTTACCGAACCAAACATTTATCCCACTTATTTCTTCAAATTCACATTCTGTCATATTAAATTTTCTCAAGCTATTCTGATGGAAGTGTTCTTTTCAGTAAACAGATATGATTTTATGTGAAATTAATTCAAACATATTGTTTCTCAAGTAAAGTAAGACCAACCATAACAAATAAACGGCTGTATAGTAATACACTTATTTACCAAACTGATTTTTCTCCAGATTATTTCCATGGTTTCCCTCAATCTAAGCAATCACACTGTTTACCTTTCATTATTGTCTAAAATACTTCACTGTCAAATCATACAGTTTAAGAGATAACGCGAAGGTAAAGTTAAATTACCTAATAAATCGTGCTTTAAATTACCTAAATAACCGTATCCAATTTTTAAAATGACGACATTTAATTTAAAATATATTATTATAACACAAATATTATTAAATATAATAAGAAAAAAATTACGGACTAACTTTTTAAAACGAACTTTTCGTTTGGGTAGAGAAAATTGCGGGGAATCGGAATCGGATTCACTCTTAGTTAATTCTAACAGTTTAAGTCCATCGGCATGGTTCTGCATCTTCTCGCGTCATCAGTCAATATTCAAACGTTCGAAAACATCGAAACGAAAATCGCCATCTTTGTTTACTGTCGTCTCTACTGATGTCGTATAGACGCTTTCGACCAATAGCACAAATGTAGCCCAATTAAAAATAAAATAAAAATTCGACGAATCGAAAAAAATATATACGTCAAACATTTAAGCATTATTAAAAATTAAGTTTTTAAAACTATTTTAAAATTTAAATTATAAAAGAAGATTCTATTTAAAACAAAGTACAGCCGAGTTTATAAATACTGTACTTAATTCAAAATTACACTTTTTTTTTATTGGATATAATTTTTATTACGTCATTTTACACGAAATAAAAATCAAATAATACACAATCTGACAAAATGACGCAATAATATAATTACAATTACGTAATACGTGTATTAAAATGTAGGCTATATTTATTATAAAGCAATTTATTGTAATCGATCAATATTTTAAAATTGCATATTCGTTCTGCAATTAATTAATTCATTAATTACATTACTCGATTGAAATAAAATGCCTCGTCACCGTTTATAATTAAATTTAACCGCCGTTAATTAACAAGCGACGGCAATTTCATAACCACATAATAATAATAATACTAAAGTAATACGCGGAAGTTAACCTGATTTTGTTTACGCTATGTGTTAATGCACGTGTATTCCAATCAGCTGGTAAACGTTGTCCTTGAAGATGTCTCCGGGCATTATTATCATTTATATTCTAAGAATAATTAGTTTTAACTTGAATAGTAATCTGAGATCAAAATCAATTATTTATAAGAAATTTTTTCCAAAAAAATAAACTAATTTATTATTTTATATTATGAAATAATTTTTATGGATGTATGTCAATATAAAAGCTTATAAAATAGATGCGATCGCTGTTTATATATGAATTTTCCGTAAAAAGATAATTTAAAAATGTATATTTAAGTTTTCTATTTCTATGTTTGTAGCTTCTAAAACATGGCAGAAGCTTAAATATAAATTTTAAAATAACTTTTAATGCAAATTCACATTTTTCCCTCATTAAGAGAGGAAAAAAATATGGAAATTTTGTCATTATTGTTGTCAGAAGAGCGCTTTAGTTTGGTAAATTTCAAGTATTTTACATATTATTTATACTAATTATATAATTTTTGACTTACATAAATCAAAAATTATTCTCGAAATTTGCTATTAACCAACTTGTAATTGAGTATATTAAAATTATTATGACGAAATGGTGTTAAACTCCATTTAAAGAAAATAAGATTATTTTGTAGCACATTAATATATTATATGGAAAACTTTAATTTTTTAAAAATCTGATATGTTGATTAAAAAATAGTCAGTAACTTTTTTTATTAATTTGAGAAATGTTAATAAAAAAGTAAGTAATTTTATATGTATATATACACAGGAAAGATTAATTATAAGTAGAAAAATTAAACAGTATTATATAGATAAAAACATTGTTCGAATTATTTTATATGGGTCACAGACGAAATTAACCTTAAGCTCTACATAACTACATATTGCTGATTTAATAATCATGTCGTGCGAAGTATCAATTTAAACTAAATAGCTGTATAAGTTAAGCAAACTAGAGATAATATTCAATGTTCCCTTATATGGAAAAAAAATGAGTTTAGCTGTGTCTATCTAGGCGTAAACATCTGTACTCCCTTCTGGAATGTTCATTAAAAATTTATGCAAAATATAATTTCTTCCAGAAACAAATAATTGATACGATTTAAAAAGATCTCTTTGAAAAACTCTAATGGTTTATTTAATTTTTTATAATAGGTAAAATCTTAAAATGAGATTATTACCACGCTCATAAAACAAAGTCCAAATATAATAAAAATTAAACATAAAAAGTAAGGGGTAACTTGCCTTACAATTATTTTAATTTTTTAAAATTTAAATTATAAAAGAAGATTCTATTTAAAACAAAGTACAGCCGAGTTTATAAATACTGTACTTAATTCAAAATTACACTTTTTTTTTATTGGATATAATTTTTATTACGTCATTTTACACGAAATAAAAATCAAATAATACACAATCTGACAAAATGACGCAATAATATAATTACAATTACGTAATACGTGTATTAAAATGTAGGCTATATTTATTATAAAGCAATTTATTGTAATCGATCAATATTTTAAAATTGCATATTCGTTCTGCAATTAATTAATTCATTAATTACATTACTCGATTGAAATAAAATGCCTCGTCACCGTTTATAATTAAATTTAACCGCCGTTAATTAACAAGCGACGNTAATTTATTAAATATTTGATTATATATACAGAGTGTCCATCTATCCAGGAGCAAAAAAGTTTTCCAGCATTGGTTAAGTTAGGGTTTGGATTGCAGCGGATACAATACACCAGACATTACGTAACCGTGACAATCAATTATTCCGCTGTTATTTGCAACCAGCACAACATGCAGCGGATGCCGCATAGAGCTGTAGATCATACTGCCACAGTATGATATTAAATTTATAACATGACGAACCATAACTCCTTCAGCACATTTTAAGGACTAACGAGGCACTGTTTTTACGGAATGGAGTATAACTGTCACAATGTGCCCCATTAGGCAGAGCGGGCTCCACGAAGCACGCGACACAAAGTGCGTTTTAACCTAAACGTTTGGAGCGGAAGTTGGGAAGAAGTTTCTCGATCCCGTATTCATTGTATGAATAGTGACTGATATATGAATATCCTAAAAACGACGGTGGACGATTAGTTTGATGACGTGCCATTGGCGAAAATACAGCAGGTTTGATAAGAGCACATTGGCGTGCCATCAGATTTGCGTCAGTGGATTGTAGAACGGTTTGGCAACCTCTGGATAAAACAACACGATCCTGTTCCAAGGCTACTACGTTCCCTAGACTTGAAACCTGTGGAATTTTTCTTATGGATTCACCTAAGATTAGTTTACGATGTAGGTACTGTACATCTAAGAGCGCCGCGTGATGTTAGGAGACTGTGCGATAGGCCTGCGAAACGGTGCTAGTGCCATCCATAATGCTTTGCTCGATTGTCTACATCTTTGTATGCCGCTGAAGGCAGTCGTTTTGGACATGTTCTCTAACAAAATAAAGCCCACTTTTCATCTTTATCTTTTACAGTTAGAAATTATTTGTATGTTGTGCTAAATTGTCTTAAATTGATTCTCTTTGGTTATTTTATCATGCATGCACACGCGAAATGCCAGAAAGATATCTTTTGCCCCTGGATGGATGTTCGAGTGGCCACTCTGTATAGACGTTAGATGTAAACATAATTAAATATATAAATATAAATTTATAACCTTATATGGCGGCTACACGCAGAAACATATTAGTTATAATAATTATAATCAAACTATTTGAGAAATAACTGTTCAGATTTACCAGTTGAAATTATTGGCTATATTATACGTGCTGGATAATATAGCCATGATCATAGAGCTTATTTTCGCTAAGCTTGACGATTATCGCAACCTATCAGCCAATAGAATAGCAATGTTTGGTAAACGTCACCAATTAACGAGACATGTGCCGGATATACGCAACTAATCCAGCGACAAATCGGAAACTTCGTTGTAAAGAAGTGTTTTCGAAAATATGGCGAATAGCAAGGAGACTTCGTATAGAAAATGATTGCCTCTAAAGTAGTGATGAGCTAGCTTTTCTGGATGCGGGTCGCAAGTGGACTTCGTAGGGTTTCGGCGGACATTTTATTATTTATTTAGCATAATTTTGCTTAAATGTAAATTTAATGAGAGATATATTTAGATTTTACAACCACAGAACGATATTTTTAATACCGTATTATAAAGATATATAGTCCGATAATTTGGCACGATCCCCAGACTTGACATGTTCCTTGTATAAAAAGTAACGTCATCTCGTGTTTGTTGTCTAGTTGATAGTACAGTACATTTCATGCAATTTATCCTGAGTGTCTCTTCCTTAGGAGCTTGAGGGCACATTCATTATTTACGAACACAATAATAAAATTACGTTGCAAAGTCTCTGATGCTGCGAGTTGTTCATGACTGCTCTAAAGAATAGATGCTAATAACCGAAAACTGAAGAAATACTGTATTATCATAAAATATTAAATAAACAATGCTTCGGAAAAAATAACAAAAGAGATGAAAACTGTAAGTATTTTCGATAATAATACAGTGCCAGACAGATAATAATACGGTAGTAATGTGAGCAATTAAAATATTCAACTGTCTAGGAATTTACTGTGTTGGAACATGCTTTGCTGGACAAAAACGTACGGAGTAAATCAATCTTAAGACTACGATAAATCGATAAGAATACGGTAAAGGGGGATAATTTAGAGGGAATCGGTCTGGCTGTCTCATTGGTTTGTTAAAAATGTGTCTTGCTCTACCTTAATTGGTTTAGTGCGTTAGTACAGAGTAACCTGTTAATACAACGTTATACAAATAGTTAGGTTTTCCCGAATCGTGTCTCAATCGCATCGTCAATTATAGTTAGAACGATTAATACATTATAAGAAAGAAGATACGCTAGCATTGAAACCTGCATTTAGAGTTTATACAAAACGAGTAGTTATTTATTGTGAGATCATCACAATGCCGGGCTGTAATTTTTAATCATATTTTTAAAATTTATGTAAAATAAAATCGTACTGCCCGATTTTCTTACCAGCATAGAGGTATGAAGGAGTACATGTGGAGAGTTGATATTTGGCACAGAGTATTAGGTGCCCAAATCCAGACTCGTAGGTAGTCAGGGGACCGAGAATCGAGTCAAAATAAAATATAAAATGGCGATCCTCTTCTACAAACAAGCAAAACAGCCACTTCACTCCACCGAAGTCAGGGGAGAGTACTACCCACAGTCATTCTAAGAAGTGAACTCTGACCTTAGGACCGAACACGTAGTTTCTTCTATGTTAAATAAAATTTGTAATCTAATTTTGTAAATTTGGGAGTGCTTCAAATATGACGTTAAAACGGTTTTATGTCGTTACAAGTGGTTTTTTTAACATTATCTAATATACTAAAATCGTAGGACCGATAAAAATTTGACGTTATATTAGGGTTGTCGTTACATTCGATGACGTTATAATCGGGTTAAACTGTATATTGTTTGTGCAAAATAAAAAAATAATTTTGGACGATACAATAGCCACGATTATTTTTTTCAAAAACGGAAACTTTTCGTTACGCATCGACAAAAATTCAACCCGGGCCGACACGCAACGGAGAGAAATTTCGAAATTAGATAGGTTAATTTCATCGAAGATGCATCGTGGACGATCTCGTGGTCGTGGCCGGCGAAGTTTGAACGATCGCGCCCTAAAGCAGCGATATCAAAGAAGATAGGAGAATGAGAACGAGACCTGCCTTGAGCATCAAAGTGATTCCGTCTCCGAGACATAGTCGTGTCCCAAATACGGCTTTGCCGTTTTACTTGTTTAAAATATAATTATACTCTCGATCTCAAATTAGTAGTGTTTTGCCTCTGTACGTAATACTTTTCCTGTTAGCAAGCCCCTGTACATCGTACTATTTCTATTAGCAATAGAGTCATGCCGTCATCTATGTAAGTACATTTAAGGGGTAATTTTTGAATTGAAATAACGTGACTTTCGGTTTAGACTGGAAGTTCTCGTACAGTTAATCGGGACCTGTTGTTCCTAACCTTTCCATATCTAGTCTCGGCTTTCATCTATCTAATTCCGTTCTCGAGATAAGAAAAGATAGACTAATGAAAGTAGTAATTTATACAGTAGTTCTACAATTTTTTTCAAATTGCAGCCCAATATGCAAATGCATTTGTTTATTATTGATACAATATATAATATTATAAAACGATATTTTATTACATATTTTTTGGCTGCAATTTGAAACTTGTAGACCTATAAATTTCCACTATAATCCGTTTGTATGTCTGTTATTCTTTAATCTCTCGAACGGTGTTAGATAGATGAAAGTCAAGACAAGATATGGAAAGCGTAGGGACAAGAGGTCCCGATTAACTTATATACAAACTTCCGCTTTGGGCCGGAAGTCACGTTATTTCAATTCAAAGTTTTTCTCCTGAACGGAGTTAGATACGTGACCAGCATGATTTCATTGTCAACAGGTAGAGTATGATGCACAGGGACAAGACACTACTAAAATCAAGTGCATTGCGACGAAAAATTGCAGCTTGACATTGTGGCAATGTCATAATAAATACGTGGTAATTCCTCGTTTATAGTTATTCACTACATTAAGCATATTTTTATATATTTACATATTTTAAAATGTTTAGTTTTAGATGAAGCGGATAGAATCCTTGATTTAGGTTTCCAAACGACTATTAATGCAATTATTGAAAATCTTCCTATAGTGAGGCAGACACTTTTATTTTCAGCAACTCAAACAAAGTATGAATCGATTTAAACNATATATATAATAATTCCTGTAAAAAATTAGAAATTGTTTAATTATTTCTCCAAAATCACACGTTTTTATATATAATTTTAAAAAAATTTTTTTTCCTAATCTTGATACTGGAACTGATCATCTCAAAAATCCATCTTCGTTGCCAGCAATTTTATTCATTTTTAATTTAATTAAAAAAAACGAATTTGGAAATTAAAGAAAAAGAGAAATAAGGGAAGAAGACATGATCATTATTGAGGAGAAAAGACAGAAGTGAGGTGACTATGTAAAGAGAATAAAAGAAGAGGAAATATTAATGATAATTATGGATGAGAACTATAGAATAAAAGAAGAAAAGCAAACAAGGATAGAATGGAGGGAGAGAGATCAGGAGAGAATTAAGTGATAAGATGTAATGACTATAGAAGAATGTCAGTTAAGATTAAACGGCCTTTTTGTTTAAGGAGACCCTGAATAATGAGAAAATTTCGAGAGAAAAAAAATAATTTTTAAATAATTTCTTACCATCATTGGCAAAAGCAACCTACAATTTTGATTGAAAAATTTATTCGACTTTCCAACCACATATTTTTCTGTAGGGTACGATTTCCCTGCAACTTTCTGTTTTAACCCAGGAACTGTTCTGCAATTCAAATAACAATTTCATTTAATTATTATTACTAATTCGAGGGAATTAAAGATATTTTTTTATCCATTTAATACCTCATTAATTCTATTATTTCATTTGAAATTGTAGTTCGTTGTTCTTCTGCAATTGTATGCAATATCGTTGCATGTACGTAAGTATATATAGCAGGAGACCATCTACATTCTTTCCTTAATATTTCGGTGCATTTAGAAGCTTCGACCCATTCACATTTTGAACTGAATCAAAATTTTACTTATTCATTATATGTAATAATTAAATATAGAAAAAACTGAAAACTATAAGATGAAACAAACCAATAGCACCACATCATTTCCCAGTAACATAAATAGTGAAATTGTTTCCATAGTTTTTGAGAATCGATGGATTGCTTGTATATCCTTATCGACTAGAAATAAATATATTTTATAGACATTAGTTAATAATTAATGGAGATTTTAGTTTAAATATATTAAAGAAATACTTGAAGATTACATCATTAAATTTTCCTTGTATTTGTTTCACTCGTCCATAAAAGAATAAAAATAAGGCGCCCTGTAAATGTTAAAATCATAAAAAGATCACTATACAGAGTATAGATTATTATTTCATTAAAAATTCATTTTTCGCGTAATATATTTAATAATTAGAATTGTTTGAACACGTTTATCTACACCAAAACAATTTGAGATTCGAAATTTTCTCCAAAAATGTATTGCAGCTTGTTACATGAGGATGGTTTATTTATATGAGGCTCCGTAACCCACCCGCCATGATGTGGACGTGACCGAACTCACATGGGCTTTGAAAAAAAGGTTCTCTTGGTGCCTATAGGGCAGAAAGAGTAGAATAAAATAAAATAAGAATGTATTAATGTAAAATAAAAATAGGTTAGGACAGGTCAAAATTAACTTCGTATATATTCTTTATCTTTCTTTGTTCATGTGTTTAAACTTTTTTTTTCTTTTCGGCATAAAAATCAACTCGCTTGGCGAGTATTTTAAGCGTAGATTTTTAATATGATATAATATTGACAAGCACATTTTAATTTATACAGAGAACGCAGCATATGTAATAATTACAAGTCTCCTATAGGGGATAAGTGAAACGCTTTCTGTACTGTACATAATATTGAACCTCTTAGTGCTTTCACAAAGGAAAGAGGTTTTATGCTTTGACAATAAAACCTTGAAATGCAATATAAATTTATATGTACTGTATAAATGATTGTAGTTTGTTCTCTTACAATAGGCTGTTTATAGGCTGATTGGGCTGCAATTTTAAAGTTTCACAGTTATTTAATATAAATATAGAAATAAGAACAGTATAGAATCAGTAACATTACTTCTAATCGTGCAAAAAGCGTAGAATATCCGAATTACAATATAAAAGTTTTCATTTTCTGCGAATTATTTTATATAAAGAAAATATAAATATCGAATAAAGTACGGTTTCATTGCAATAGATTAATTCTGTTAAAAACAAGTTTTAAAATGATTTAATGCATTACGTTCATTGCAATTTTTCAAATTCGCCATTTTTCGAACCGAAAAAGACCTTGTAACTAGAATGAACGTCATCGTGAAAGGCATTTATTGACTACACTTCGATAAAAAAACTTTTTCCGCGTGTAAAAAGTAACTTGCTCTACTTGATTTTTCATTAGATTTCAGTAGAAACTTCAGAAAATATTGTTGTTTTCTGCTTCTGCCCTTATTTATGCTGTTTATACTAGAATAAATGCAGTACAAGTAAATCACCAAACATGTTTAAACCTCATTGAAACAGCATGAATTGTCACGTGTACTTTTCCCCTTCAATATATATATACATATATATATGTTCATATACTGTATAATATATATATATATATAATGAATATATATACATATATGCAAACATAGGCCTACATATAGTACATGAATGCATATTTTTTAATTTTCTACGCCGTGTTTTTATTCTGAGGTCGTTTTAGCGAATGTAATCAATTACTATATACGGATTGCAAATTGATAAAAAGGACGTTTGCATTTTGAAGCAATGACCACTTCTTGTTCCATTTTGTTTAAGCCGGAAAGTTTATAGAGTCCTGTGCAGTTCCGGATTTCACTGGTTTTAATGTATTATTAATTAGTAGAGGACGAAAGATAGGCCTATAGTATGGGACTGCGAGTCTAATCTGGATCTGTATAGATTATAAATTTCTAATTGACAATCGTTGCGGAATAGTTTTAGCATGAATTTGATTCTTCATTCAGTAAATTTATGGTTTTTAATTAATATTTAAAAGTATAAAAATGATTTTTTGCTATTCCTACATCTAAAAATTATATACCGGGTGATTTCAATTAAATTGTCTCTATTCAACGCTATTTAGAAGGATATTTAGCAGTTCAAATGCAAGTAAGTCTTGTATAGTGACATTTACATTTAAAAAAATTCGTACTAAAACTCGCTACTAAAGCATTTTTGACACTTACTAGTACGAATTTAATAAAATAGTTTTTCGAGAAACAATTGTCAGTTCATATTAAATCATATATTAAGAAGATCAGGATTATCACAATAGAAATATAAATTATAGTATCGGAAATAATTGCAAAATTTACTGATTTATATCACTATATCTTTATAAATTCTGAAAACGAAGCAAAAATACCAAATTATTTTAATTGGTGTTTTAATCGTTAAATCTCTCCTTAGGTTAATGTGCTTTTTTCAAATGAAGTATCTTTACTTTTGCTGTATAATAAACAAAATAATTATGTACTTATAAAAGTTCTCTATCATAATCCCTAATTCTCAACTAATTCAACATTTGGATATGTTTGGAATTAAATAAAGTTTATTTTATTACGGCATAATTAACTTTTTCCTTACAGGCAACTATTAGGCCTATATACCGTATGGCATTATCTGTGGATGAAAATAAATAAATAAATAAACACTACAACCATTATTATATATTGACAAACTGATATTGATATTCTATGGTATCGATAATCCTGAATACTGTATCTTGATACTAGAATATATAGATATTATATCATATCTTTAAATGATATTCTGTAACATTCATAATATTTATGAATACTACTCTTCTAGTTGATGTGACTTTTTCAGTTTACTGCACACTAATGCGTGCACACTGAACTGAAAAATAGCGAAAATATAATATATACGTACTGTGTATATTACATAATATATTTCATACTATGTAACAGCAAAATATAAGTTTTTCTAGAACAATTTTTGGTCCAAAAAATTGTTTTGTTTAATTTTAGACTCTTTCAGCCCTGTGGATATTAAGAGGCCTTTGTTTCATACTCATCATGGATTTGGCCAGGCATACAGTGGTTAGGACAAAACGGATAGCCTATAAAAATTTCTACGGATTCGAATCTGGATTCCAGTGCGACAAGTTCACGTTTTAGGCATCTCGGACATCCGCCCGTCGATAAAAATTATTTAAAAATTTAAACTATTTCTGTATTTTTAATATTACTGTCAGCTTACTAATGAAATAAGCGCAATTACTTACATTCGGATATCTAATTAACATATCTTCTAACATATCTTCTGATTGATTAATATCTCCATCCCCCATACCTGAAAAACGTTAAAATTTTATAAAATGCGCCTTTTTAATGTATAAATCGAAGCATTTTTAGCTTACCAAACACGTAAGAAATGACGGTATGATAAGCGACAAGAATTAACACAGCTAAAGGAGATCGAAGGCCGTTTGTCTCTTCATAACTTTCTTTAAGCTCCCTCAGACCTATATTCTGAAAATAAATTAAATTATAACATAAGAAAAAAGTAATTTGACAGAATTTTAAAATAAATAAATAACCTTATTTCCGGAAAAACCGATAAATTCTAACAATCGTAGTATCCTTGTCGGGAATTGAGAAATCATCTGAAATACAAATCTTCTCATTACTTTATCCTCAAATTATTAAATATTAAAAAAATAATAAAATATTTACTAAATTAAATGTTCCTATGCCCATTTTCACACCACTAGCGTAGTGTTGCCTATGCTTATTATTTTTCCAGTTTCTGTTTTCGAGTATATGCAAGCATTCTCTAAATTATAACGACGATTTCAGTCAAAAATAGATATTTATTATATATAAAATCGATTTTTTTTAAACTTACTTATATGATTGATAGCAGGTTCTAACTTTTAAGCCGCCTTTCACAAAGTTCATGAAGCTCTGGTCAGCAAGAAATGTTAATATGGCTGTTAACAATAAACATTCTGCGTAGCAAAGCTCGGCATGCACTTCTTCTACAGAAATTTAAAATAATTTGATTAAAATCATTTACAGAAATGCCGAAAATAAACGATGAATAACTGAAATTACCCTCTGTATACGAATTATAATCCACTTGACCTATCATTTTCGATACATACAGAACGGCACCTCTCTTCCTCTTTCTGTTGCAAACGTCAACTGCTTGATTTAATGCTTGCAAAGCTACATCTATATCAGCCTAAATGTTTATTTATATTATTCAAAAATTAATTTATTTTAAAAAATTATGATAAATTAAGCATTCATAAACACTTACAGGAGCGAGGGTGAGTACAGCTTGCATAAACAAAACTGTACCTTTCCCTAAAGAATGGTATATGCTTCGATTTGCGCTGTAAAAAATATAATTAGCAATACATTTAATAATAAATAATAGTTTTTTTAGTTTGATGCCTCTATACTGTATAACGATAATTTTCAGGTTCGTTGTACAGAATATCAATTCGAAATTTAAATTATTTGACAATATTTATAATAAATTTATGCATTATAAACAAATAAATTCAAGAGAAGCTTTAAAAATTAAAAATTAAATGTATATTCTACAACGTGTTCTATTTTATTTCACAAATTACTATGGTTTCATCAAATCCAAAGCTTGATTAAAATGATTTTTCAGAAATAGATCCAGAGCCACCACAGTTTCCTTTACAGAATCTTCCAAAGAAGGAACATGTTCTGTCTCTCTAAAAAGTAAAATAAAATAATTTTAGAATTAATTTGCTAGTTAGAGGACCGTCCGTTTATCACACGTACAGTTAAAGTGGTGCTCATTATCGTTGTATATGTGGGAGGTAAGGATAAAATACGAGACAAAATGTGTTATTCCCGAAAAATATTAGAACGCTTCAATATCAAGGACAAGCAGGGTATGTATTTTACTCTGCCAATGACAGAAATATTCGTATATTTAAAATGTGGAAAAAGAAAACGATACTTTATTGTAGGAACAGTTTTTAGAATAAAGGCCTCCTGTCGCTAGATGACAGTTGGAAAAAATCCGAGATAATCCCGGAAAACCGGGACATCTGACAACCCTATGACTAGGAAAGGAATCGAGGCATACTTTTTTTTAATGGTGTTATTAACATACGAATTTGCTTTTATAAGGATACTTACTAGCCATGTGAACCCAAAAAAACTGACGATGTAAGAGATCACGACAAGGAGACAGAATTTCTTTTGAGCGAAGCTCTTCATAAGTCAGAAAACGTTATGTCTGCGATCGAAGTTCAAAGCAATCGCATGACCATTAAATATGATTTTTTGCAAATATGTACAACTAAGCAAGGCCGAAGTCCTGACGAAGCCGGAATTTTAAAATTCGATCTATAGGCTGAGATATTCCAGATCATATTTCTCCATGTAAAATCTATTGACCGGTCCCGGTTGTAAGCTCGTCGCGTGCTATATTTCAATCGAGTTTACGATTGTTATTAATTTACATTGATCTCTACGACAACTTTTTATTTTGGTTTTTACGACGTGCATTTAACATGCACAATGTCGTGACGAAATTAATTTTTCAACCCTCGCTCGTGCGTCCTGCGACCGCAGATGTGCGTGTTTTAACCGGTGGCTGGAATTAGTAGGTTGCTGGCTGCACATATAGTTGTTTTGAACGTTTCTTGTAATTTTTGTCGACCATGACGATAGACATGTACGCGCCCCGTACTTGCGGGTTTTAAACTGCTTTAGACAGAACGTTAGTAGCATATCACCACATTTGTGTTTTTCTGTCAAGCCGAAACGGAAAAATCTACGCCGCGGAGCTCAGTTTCTTTTTCCTAAAATATATTAAAATAATTGACATGTTTGAAACGAGACAAGGGTAATAACTGTAACTATTTGTCTTAAAGGATATTTAAAGACAAAATTATTATTTAAAATAATACGTATCATTTTAATTGACTATCATTTAAAGACAAATATTCATAATTATTATCCTCGTTACGCTTCAAGCATATCAGTTATTTTAAATAAATAAATTTTCTGTTTCGTTGTCGTCATCCGTTACATTGCCAGTGTTTTATGGGGTTGATATAACCGTTTTTTGTGTTTTTTGATTGTTATAAAGGTTGCCGTTGTTCCTTGTCACCTCAAGCCTTTTACATTATATAAATAGTATTTCTAACACCATTTCGAACAAGAACGTTAACACCTATCAGAATAATATTCAAATGCAAATCGGACGATAGAAAACGTTAATAATACCTTATGGAAATAAAAATAAACTATTAATTTTTTAGTAAAACGTAGACAAACTTTGCAGTTTGTCATTGTTAGAAAATATTTGAAGAATTTTTTTAAAGTAATTTCTTCAATTGTTGCATATATAATTAAAGGGAGCATGCCAAAAGTTCACTTCAACAAGGAGGGAGAGAGTCAAAAGTGATTCAAAAACTGTACACGTGATTAATGGACGACCCCTTGAAAGAGTACAAAATAATAATTATAAGTAAACTTTAATAAAATAAAACAAACTTACTCTGGTAAATTTTCGCACGCATCTTCAAACATCTGAAAAAATAACATATTTATTTTTATATTCTCTCCAACAATATAAATTAAATAGCTGGAAAATTGAATTGATTTTTGAACTCAAATTATTGAAAACAATTAAAAATATGCGAATAGTTCAGAGTCGTAGAGAGAGAGAATTAGAGATTTGCGCAATAAAACCTGTTTAAAACGGAACCCGAATAAAACGGGAACCTACCAAACCGAAAAACATATTCGGTTTACACAGGTTTTACTGTACCTAGAGCATTAAATGAGGCACCTATGACTTGTATTAAATAGATTACCATTTTAAACAAAGGTTACCATGTTAAACAAATGTTAAGCTAATATTAATACTGAAAATATTAATAAATCTTTATTTTATTCATCATCGTTGCAAGCCGTGTAACACGCAAAAATATTAATATATAAATATATATTGCCCGAAGTGTCATAAATGAACGGCACACTTCTTACACAATTAAAAATAAATTCAACGAAGTGTTTTACGATTTTATTGATCTCAATATATCAAAAATAACCAGAGTTTACGATTTCAATTATTTAAAAAATGAAACAATAATTNTAGTACTTGTACTTTTATATATTATCTTGTTTATATTTATGTAAAATAATTTATGTTTTTATTAATCCATTTTCTTCTTGACATATGGTTTTATGAAGCATGGGATAACTTCCGCACTGTATTTTGGAAGTGGGATATGTGCATTCTCTCATCTGCTTAGAAGATAAATCCAGCATGGATGCCGAATTGGAAACTATTTTCAACTGTCGAAGAGCAGTGTGCACTCTGAAGTGGACAATTGTTTCGACTTGATATCCGTGATAATTATTTCTGAAAAAAGATTACCACTTGTAATAAGTATTTAACAAATATTCTATGTTAAATTTAGATAATTACATTGCTCTTTCCAAATATTCTTTCGATTCTTTGTAACAGCCTTGTTCCATTGCGAGTAATCCTAATTCTGTTGCTGCAAATGCAACTATGTGTAAGTCTTCGTGTACATTTTTATCTCTAGTAAAGAGAAAATGTATTATGAAATATTTTATACATATAAGAGGCATTAAATAAAATAATATATAAGATAATTTACAAATTGATAACATTCTTAAAGCATTCTTCTGCGAGTTTATATTTTCCAGAAAGTTTTAAACATGAACCATGCAGCAAAAGGAGTAAACAGTAATCTTCTACTTCTTTATCTGCTAGTGAATCTGAAATATAAAAAGTTGTGTAAAATCTGCATTAATCAAAAATATATATAATATTACGAAAATTATCATAGATGTAGACAATATTATATAATTTTGGATCCGGAGAGAAAAAACCTTGGAAGAAATTTTTTTTAAAAACTATAACTTGACATCTGAAATAAAACAGTAAAATGTTTTATTTATAAAGCATTTCAATTGTTTCATCTGAAGTAGAAAGTGAGGGAAACACTGATTATTTATCTCTTTGAGGCTTCTATTGTATCGTTAAAATATAGTTAAAAATTGTATTACATTAAACATTTTTTAAAACAAATTTTAAGTTTTCCTTAATACACAAGAAATTCAATGTAATGAGCAAATTTGTTACCTGAATTAAATGATGTTCTGGCCCTCTGTCTAAATTCAAATCATATTCAAATTCCTTATTAGAATAATATCGATTAGTTTAGCAAAATAGTTAACTTTTCCCGCCATAATTGATCTGTTTAAGTTCATATTTGAAATTTCAAAACTACTTTTAATACAGGTCTCGTTTGCAAGAATTGCAATTGCTAATGAAAAGATTTTTTTCCGATTTTTGACGTTCTTATCGTGCCAAGTAGATAAAAACACTGAACACAGGTCGCGGGTTCGCGCCTCACCAAAGAGCCTGTGGATTTTTCCGAGTTTTCTTTACGTATCAAATACCTAAACCAGTTTGTTTCTCATAAAGTCCTCCTGGGAGGCATACTCCTTGACAGATCGCCTAGTGTCGCGTTGCAGTACCCTATCAAATCAAACTTTGTGCTCATCCTGAATTTATCGAAACTCATTTATCAACTCTAAATCCTTACACTAACAAAAACTTTATATTGTTCTAAACTCAAACCACTGTTGATGCATTAAATTTTATAATTGTGATCAAAGACTAACGAGAAACAGCAGTTATCCCCGTTCAATATTTTGCTAAACTTCTTTCCCCACAACATACCACAGACATAATTTATGATATCTAATTAATACGTATCCAAATTATTAACATCTGGTAAAAGTTGATACTTTGTTATCATTATTATCCCCTTTGACCTTGGTAATTTGTACTGTACTTGCTGTTTTCTTTCGGAGACCATACCTGTAATCTGTCTTAAAATTAGATATTAAATTCTTCATTAAAATGTACACTTTTATTTGGAAAATTTTAAAAAATATCTGATTAATCAAAGCTAATATATAAAAAATAATTATAGCCTAATTAAAAATGAATCAAATGTTCATTTAATTAGACAATGCTTAGTCTATAAATAATGTTGATGATATTGTTCATAAATATAACGTAATGCAATTAATATTATTAGTCATATCAATTTTTAATTGTGCAGATCTGGAAAACAATTTTTTAGAGAAAGTATTTAGATAAAATTTATATGAAATAAATTTTTATTAAAAAATCTTTGACTAAAGCAACAACTCTCATGCTATGTTTTATAGTGGCATATTAGAGCCCAATCCATTATTAGAAACATAAAAATTTAATTATAGTTTCAAGATTTAAGTTTTATGTTAAATTACTTAACAACACGAATGTGTGGAGAGCATCAAATTTACAAATTTGGTCAGTGAATGATCTTACTGGACGAATTCATATCACGTGCCATCCTCAAACATCAATAACTCTAGACTAACACCAGAAATGAAGTAATTATACTATATTAAGATCATAAAATTAACTTATATAACACGCATAAAAATTTATATTAAAAACTCGATAAAAGCAAAAAATTAAAATGTATTTTGGTGTAGTACTAAATGAAATTATGAATTCATGATCTTTACAAGACTTTAAGTGCAAATTTAATCGTATTCAATCAAGAAGCACTTTAATTGAATAATGTATAACATTGTTACTATATTTTAAAGTTTATAATTTTCTAATAGATATAGGCTATTAGTTCATTCTTTATATCTAGATTCAATTTACCTTTGTTGGATTCCAAAGTTAACAGTGCTTTTTTTACAATAATAGAAATTTTATCCAAATAGATAGGAGATTTTGCTATCATTGGAAAATTATTCCATATATATAATAATTCCTGTAAAAAATTAGAAATTGTTTAATTATTTCTCCAAAATCACACGTTTTTATATATAATTTTAAAAAAATTTTTTTTCCTAATCTTGATACTGGAACTGATCATCTCAAAAATCCATCTTCGTTGCCAGCAATTTTATTCATTTTTAATTTAATTAAAAAAAACGAATTTGGAAATTAAAGAAAAAGAGAAATAAGGGAAGAAGACATGATCATTATTGAGGAGAAAAGACAGAAGTGAGGTGACTATGTAAAGAGAATAAAAGAAGAGGAAATATTAATGATAATTATGGATGAGAACTATAGAATAAAAGAAGAAAAGCAAACAAGGATAGAATGGAGGGAGAGAGATCAGGAGAGAATTAAGTGATAAGATGTAATGACTATAGAAGAATGTCAGTTAAGATTAAACGGCCTTTTTGTTTAAGGAGACCCTGAATAATGAGAAAATTTCGAGAGAAAAAAAATAATTTTTAAATAATTTCTTACCATCATTGGCAAAAGCAACCTACAATTTTGATTGAAAAATTTATTCGACTTTCCAACCACATATTTTTCTGTAGGGTACGATTTCCCTGCAACTTTCTGTTTTAACCCAGGAACTGTTCTGCAATTCAAATAACAATTTCATTTAATTATTATTACTAATTCGAGGGAATTAAAGATATTTTTTTATCCATTTAATACCTCATTAATTCTATTATTTCATTTGAAATTGTAGTTCGTTGTTCTTCTGCAATTGTATGCAATATCGTTGCATGTACGTAAGTATATATAGCAGGAGACCATCTACATTCTTTCCTTAATATTTCGGTGCATTTAGAAGCTTCGACCCATTCACATTTTGAACTGAATCAAAATTTTACTTATTCATTATATGTAATAATTAAATATAGAAAAAACTGAAAACTATAAGATGAAACAAACCAATAGCACCACATCATTTCCCAGTAACATAAATAGTGAAATTGTTTCCATAGTTTTTGAGAATCGATGGATTGCTTGTATATCCTTATCGACTAGAAATAAATATATTTTATAGACATTAGTTAATAATTAATGGAGATTTTAGTTTAAATATATTAAAGAAATACTTGAAGATTACATCATTAAATTTTCCTTGTATTTGTTTCACTCGTCCATAAAAGAATAAAAATAAGGCGCCCTGTAAATGTTAAAATCATAAAAAGATCACTATACAGAGTATAGATTATTATTTCATTAAAAATTCATTTTTCGCGTAATATATTTAATAATTAGAATTGTTTGAACACGTTTATCTACACCAAAACAATTTGAGATTCGAAATTTTCTCCAAAAATGTATTGCAGCTTGTTACATGAGGATGGTTTATTTATATGAGGCTCCGTAACCCACCCGCCATGATGTGGACGTGACCGAACTCACATGGGCTTTGAAAAAAAGGTTCTCTTGGTGCCTATAGGGCAGAAAGAGTAGAATAAAATAAAATAAGAATGTATTAATGTAAAATAAAAATAGGTTAGGACAGGTCAAAATTAACTTCGTATATATTCTTTATCTTTCTTTGTTCATGTGTTTAAACTTTTTTTTTCTTTTCGGCATAAAAATCAACTCGCTTGGCGAGTATTTTAAGCGTAGATTTTTAATATGATATAATATTGACAAGCACATTTTAATTTATACAGAGAACGCAGCATATGTAATAATTACAAGTCTCCTATAGGGGATAAGTGAAACGCTTTCTGTACTGTACATAATATTGAACCTCTTAGTGCTTTCACAAAGGAAAGAGGTTTTATGCTTTGACAATAAAACCTTGAAATGCAATATAAATTTATATGTACTGTATAAATGATTGTAGTTTGTTCTCTTACAATAGGCTGTTTATAGGCTGATTGGGCTGCAATTTTAAAGTTTCACAGTTATTTAATATAAATATAGAAATAAGAACAGTATAGAATCAGTAACATTACTTCTAATAGTGCAAAAAGCGTAGAATATCCGAATTACAATATAAAAGTTTTCATTTTCTGCGAATTATTTTATATAAAGAAAATATAAATATCGAATAAAGTACGGTTTCATTGCAATAGATTAATTCTGTTAAAAACAAGTTTTAAAATGATTTAATGCATTACGTTCATTGCAATTTTTCAAATTCGCCATTTTTCGAACCGAAAAAGACCTTGTAACTAGAATGAACGTCATCGTGAAAGGCATTTATTGACTACACTTCGATAAAAAAACTTTTTCCGCGTGTAAAAAGTAACTTGCTCTACTTGATTTTTCATTAGATTTCAGTAGAAACTTCAGAAAATATTGTTGTTTTCTGCTTCTGCCCTTATTTATGCTGTTTATACTAGAATAAATGCAGTACAAGTAAATCACCAAACATGTTTAAACCTCATTGAAACAGCATGAATTGTCACGTGTACTTTTCCCCTTCAATATATATATACATATATATATGTTCATATACTGTATAATATATATATATATATAATGAATATATATACATATATGCAAACATAGGCCTACATATAGTACATGAATGCATATTTTTTAATTTTCTACGCCGTGTTTTTATTCTGAGGTCGTTTTAGCGAATGTAATCAATTACTATATACGGATTGCAAATTGATAAAAAGGACGTTTGCATTTTGAAGCAATGACCACTTCTTGTTCCATTTTGTTTAAGCCGGAAAGTTTATAGAGTCCTGTGCAGTTCCGGATTTCACTGGTTTTAATGTATTATTAATTAGTAGAGGACGAAAGATAGGCCTATAGTATGGGACTGCGAGTCTAATCTGGATCTGTATAGATTATAAATTTCTAATTGACAATCGTTGCGGAATAGTTTTAGCATGAATTTGATTCTTCATTCAGTAAATTTATGGTTTTTAATTAATATTTAAAAGTATAAAAATGATTTTTTGCTATTCCTACATCTAAAAATTATATACCGGGTGATTTCAATTAAATTGTCTCTATTCAACGCTATTTAGAAGGATATTTAGCAGTTCAAATGCAAGTAAGTCTTGTATAGTGACATTTACATTTAAAAAAATTCGTACTAAAACTCGCTACTAAAGCATTTTTGACACTTACTAGTACGAATTTAATAAAATAGTTTTTCGAGAAACAATTGTCAGTTCATATTAAATCATATATTAAGAAGATCAGGATTATCACAATAGAAATATAAATTATAGTATCGGAAATAATTGCAAAATTTACTGATTTATATCACTATATCTTTATAAATTCTGAAAACGAAGCAAAAATACCAAATTATTTTAATTGGTGTTTTAATCGTTAAATCTCTCCTTAGGTTAATGTGCTTTTTTCAAATGAAGTATCTTTACTTTTGCTGTATAATAAACAAAATAATTATGTACTTATAAAAGTTCTCTATCATAATCCCTAATTCTCAACTAATTCAACATTTGGATATGTTTGGAATTAAATAAAGTTTATTTTATTACGGCATAATTAACTTTTTCCTTACAGGCAACTATTAGGCCTATATACCGTATGGCATTATCTGTGGATGAAAATAAATAAATAAATAAACACTACAACCATTATTATATATTGACAAACTGATATTGATATTCTATGGTATCGATAATCCTGAATACTGTATCTTGATACTAGAATATATAGATATTATATCATATCTTTAAATGATATTCTGTAACATTCATAATATTTATGAATACTACTCTTCTAGTTGATGTGACTTTTTCAGTTTACTGCACACTAATGCGTGCACACTGAACTGAAAAATAGCGAAAATATAATATATACGTACTGTGTATATTACATAATATATTTCATACTATGTAACAGCAAAATATAAGTTTTTCTAGAACAATTTTTGGTCCAAAAAATTGTTTTGTTTAATTTTAGACTCTTTCAGCCCTGTGGATATTAAGAGGCCTTTGTTTCATACTCATCATGGATTTGGCCAGGCATACAGTGGTTAGGACAAAACGGATAGCCTATAAAAATTTCTACGGATTCGAATCTGGATTCCAGTGCGACAAGTTCACGTTTTAGGCATCTCGGACATCCGCCCGTCGATAAAAATTATTTAAAAATTTAAACTATTTCTGTATTTTTAATATTACTGTCAGCTTACTAATGAAATAAGCGCAATTACTTACATTCGGATATCTAATTAACATATCTTCTAACATATCTTCTGATTGATTAATATCTCCATCCCCCATACCTGAAAAACGTTAAAATTTTATAAAATGCGCCTTTTTAATGTATAAATCGAAGCATTTTTAGCTTACCAAACACGTAAGAAATGACGGTATGATAAGCGACAAGAATTAACACAGCTAAAGGAGATCGAAGGCCGTTTGTCTCTTCATAACTTTCTTTAAGCTCCCTCAGACCTATATTCTGAAAATAAATTAAATTATAACATAAGAAAAAAGTAATTTGACAGAATTTTAAAATAAATAAATAACCTTATTTCCGGAAAAACCGATAAATTCTAACAATCGTAGTATCCTTGTCGGGAATTGAGAAATCATCTGAAATACAAATCTTCTCATTACTTTATCCTCAAATTATTAAATATTAAAAAAATAATAAAATATTTACTAAATTAAATGTTCCTATGCCCATTTTCACACCACTAGCGTAGTGTTGCCTATGCTTATTATTTTTCCAGTTTCTGTTTTCGAGTATATGCAAGCATTCTCTAAATTATAACGACGATTTCAGTCAAAAATAGATATTTATTATATATAAAATCGATTTTTTTTAAACTTACTTATATGATTGATAGCAGGTTCTAACTTTTAAGCCGCCTTTCACAAAGTTCATGAAGCTCTGGNAGGCTCAAAAAATTTCATAAAATTAATGTTTTATGTGGATTAATCTCACGAGCATAAATGATTTTTGAAGTCGAGATGCAATGATTTATATTAAAATTTCAAAATTTTATATTATTACAAGATGATGAACTTATATACTATTAAATCATAGATATACATAGAGTAGCATTGAATGCAACGTTATGATTGACCCATTACTGAAATTGTTTTCTTATAAAAATTCTTATACAATAGAAGAATAACTAAAAAAAGTTCTAAAAATCACGAGTAGTAATTTTATGATTTCCTTATGCCTATGATAGACTACATATTTACAAAGGTTCAAGGACCAATAAAATATAATATATCAAGCTCATATTTTCGAGATTTTTCTAAAGTTCGCTGCGAAAAATAATAATAAAGCAGTTTATAAATTCAAAACCAGTTATATTATAAAAAATTAATTTAAATAGTAAGCATATTCTTGGAAATAATTCTTTCAAAATAAATAATTTGAGGAATTTTTATGTTTTATTTAATTAATTTTTCTGAGGAATTAAATAAATTAGTAATGTTATTTACTCAAATTTAAATGATTCGTTAGTTAACTCCATGATGTTAAATCAGCTAAAAATATCAAGGTTAATAGACATGTTAGACGAGTATTTAGTATCGCTCTACATTGTATTTTTTGGCATCAATAAAATGAATTCTCTTAAAGTTGTATAACAATAATTAGATCCGAGAGCGATTTTTCAACCGTAAATGTCACGTGTTCATAAAAACTAATTGGATCAATTATGCCATTGATACATTCTCGGATATGTTCGTTTTTGTGGAGATAGTGCACACTTTTACGTCAATTTGACGTCAGTTTTTAAAGTTGCTCATTATAAACTGATGAGATTACGTTAAATTAACGTCATAGAGCACACTTTCTAAACGAAACGAGCAATGCTTTCTTCTTAAAGTTTTAAACTTACTTTGTAGGAATGATTTTACTCCTTTTTTACAAATGATTAGTAAAAATTTGAGATCCAAAACTCACCAAAGAAATTGCTTCGTTAAAAATTTATTGTCGGCTTTTAAATATAAGTATACATTACAATCGAACCTCTGAACAACGGCCACTGGCAAGAACATAAAAAAAATTCGGGGGAAGCCGATGTATATAAATTATTAGTTCGAAATAAACGTTCCTGAAAGAGTGGTCGTTGTTTAGAGGTGGCCGCTATCGGATGATCTGTATTACAAAATGCACTTTTTGCTTTAGCAATTTACTCTCAGAAAAACTTATTTTCCTAAATAAAATTTTTTTTATTTGATTCAAGTTATATAAATATATATAGCATAAATATATGATCGAAATATATCTGATATAAAATGCATCTTTATTTCCTCATTACATATCTGATAAGAGTTTTTAAAATTGGATAATCATATATTTTTTATTCTTTAGGTATTAATTAAAACTCTGACAGAGTTTTATATTTATATATTCAAAGAAGTATTAATTAAATGTTAAACTATGATGCAAGTTCATAGCGATATTCTATATGTAGTGAACTAAAACAAAATACAATAATAGGGTATCTGTATAAAACGGAAACTTGCCAAATCGGGAAATTCTGATCCGTGCCATAGCATTCCATTTTAAACATGTTTTACTGTATTAAGATAAATAATGCTACTTTTTATATTTTACAGAAAAATAAATTATTTACAGTAAAATATTGCATGAGAAATTGCATTAAAACTATAAAAAAATATAAAACACGGCAGTAAGCTATTGACATGAAAAAACCTGAATTACTCTTATAAAATTATTTAAAATAATTTTAAGTTTTGTATATATAATTTATATTCCATTACTCTTATATTCTGAATAATTAAATATTCATTTTGTCTTCCAGTAGGCAAAGCAAGATTTGTAGGCCTATTATTTACGTAACAATAGCACAAGTTACATCACTACATTTTTTGTGGCATGCATGCATGCATGTCAGGTATGCATATATCACAAAATGCCCATTTCCGGGATTCGTCTCTTATCATTTATCACTATAAAATCAAAAATATCTTATCTTTTTTACTTTGCACGCCTTGTTTAACAGAAATACAGTATATTACGAAAATTATAAATAGTCCAAACTAAAATATTTGTTTATAAAACATTCAAGTAATTCATAAAATTGTTAAAATTTTAAAATATTTCTAAATAAATAAATGCTTTATGATATTCTACATACATTCAATATTTTAATAATATAAGAAAAATCTATTGATGACATAAATAAATTCATTGAAATTTAATTAAAATAATATTTATGTATTCATATTTTTTATTTATAAACTGATAAATATAATAATTTAAAGCATAGAATTATATTAAATATCAGACTTTTTAAATTCTTTATGTCAAACAATCAAACTCTTTCTAGATATGTTAGACCTCTACATAACAATTAACTTTTATAAATACAGTATGTGTATATATCCTATGTATTATATAGTACATACACTTATATAAACGCTAAAAATATAATATCTAATATACTATATAATTAAATATTTACTATATTTATAACTAAATAATAGACTATATCCTATCATGGGAAGGGCTTGCAAGTTCTTCCCGTGACAGAACTTATTATTTTAATAACTCAATTATAAAAAATTTGTTTTTTTATGACTGTTTATTTGTTAAAGATTTGCATTTTGATAACGATTTTCCTTGTCGTTTTTATTATAAATATACAAATAAGTAAAACTGGTACGGAAATTCTCTTAAACACAATGGCTACTTTTTTAGATGTAGAAATTTGTATTTTTTTTTCTTTAATTGTAAAACCTGATGTGTCGATATCAATTTTATAAAACTGATCAGATGTTATTTTACTTTTTAAATTTCCTGCTTATTGGAATAATATAAATTTTAAATCGATATTATTTTTTACAGTGATCAAATTGACTTTCAATGTTGTCCATGTAGTGTGATAGGAGCTTTAACCTTGTGTAACTTCTTATACAACGTTAAAACAATTAAGAATTTGTAACGGTTTTATATTTAAATTAAAATTGATAAAAATATTAAATTTAATTTTATTAAAATTATTCTTTTTCGGGGAGGATATCGTCTCTCACACCCTTCCTACTCTATACTCTTACATGTACCGACTTCTTACTCTATGCATCTTGCCTACTATAGTAGGGAAGATGCACAATTTTATACAATATAATTAACATTACATCTGATGTTTTATATATTAAACGATGTAAAAATTATGTCAAAATAATCGAATGTTATTTTTATAGTAGAGATGATCCATTATTCCATGCTCGACCTACTACATGGATTTGTCCGTAATTTTTATACTTCAATAGTGCTAAAGGTGTCTTAAATAAATATATATAAACAGAGCAGAAAGTTTCTATAAATGATTAGATAAAGTTTATTAATTATTCTAAAAATTAATTCGAGCATTTAANAAAAAATTTGTTTTTTTATGACTGTTTATTTGTTAAAGATTTGCATTTTGATAACGATTTTCCTTGTCGTTTTTATTATAAATATACAAATAAGTAAAACTGGTACGGAAATTCTCTTAAACACAATGGCCACTTTTTTAGATGTAGAAATTTGTATTTTTTTTTCTTTAATTGTAAAACCTGATGTGTCGATATCAATTTTATAAAACTGATCAGATCTTATTTTACTTTTTAAATTTCCTGCTTATTGGAATAATATAAATTTTAAATCGATATTATTTTTTACAGTGATCAAATTGACTTTCAATGTTGTCCATGTAGTGTGATAGGAGCTTTAACCTTGTGTAACTTCTTATACAACGTTAAAACAATTAAGAATTTGTAACGGTTTTATATTTAAATTAAAATTGATAAAAATATTAAATTTAATTTTATTAAAATTATTCTTTTTCGGGGAGGATATCGTCTCTCACACCCTTCCTACTCTATACTCTTACATGTACCGACTTCTTACTCTATGCATCTTGCCTACTATAGTAGGGAAGATGCACAATTTTATACAATATAATTAACATTACATCTGATGTTTTATATATTAAACGATGTAAAAATTATGTCAAAATAATCGAATGTTATTTTTATAGTAGAGATGATCCATTATTCCATGCTCGACCTACTACATGGATTTGTCCGTAATTTTTATACTTCAATAGTGCTAAAGGTGTCTTAAATAAATATATATAAACAGAGCAGAAAGTTTCTATAAATGATTAGATAAAGTTTATTAATTATTCTAAAAATTAATTCGAGCATTTAATATATTTAATGATGTTATATTGGCTTTACTTCTGCTTTGTTTCATTTATTTACTTATTTTTGTCCGCAATTTAAATGTTAAAAAATGATTGTTGAATGGTTTTTATTACATTAATATAAATACAGTATATATTTTCAATCGCAGTGTTAGTAACCTGTCTAAAACGGCTTATTCAAATTCCCGTTTACACAGTTTAATTAAGGTACAGTATATTCATAATTATTGTTATTTTTAATTTTTAGTGGGTTCTATTATTATTGTTATTATACTGAAAACCTGTGTAAACCGGAATCGCAATTTATTGGATTTTTCTCATTTTTGCAGGTTTCCGGCTTATTCAGGTTCCGTTTTAAACAGGTTTCTTGTATACGGGAAGGTTTTCTCGTCTTATAAAATTCCCTCTATTATGTAAATAAATTAATAAAATAAATAAAAATACATATTCTACAATTAATTAATAAGCCTAATTAAAATAAAAATAAAAATTTTACAAAAAAGTATAATTTAATAAGTTACAGAATTAAATTTTAAAGACTTTTTTATACCAGAAAAAGCTATTCTAATTAACATAATTCTAATTTTAACTCGAGTAACAAGTTTAAGAAAACGTGGGAAAAGAGAAAGAGAATAAATCCTACTTTTGATCTTATCGAAATTAAAAGCGAGAAAGAAAAAAGTAATGAAAAGCATTTATTTATTTTTTTTCGCTCTTACACATGGCACTAATGACTATTCTTAAAAGGAACAGTGTTATAATATGGAATTTATTTCAAAGCAATAAATTTTTATCTATTTTTAAACAAGGAAATTATTTCAAAAAGTTTATTCTAAATTTATATATATATATATTTAAACCAACATTTTAATATTATTGTAACATTCTTTCTAATATAATAATATAATATTTAATTGAGGAAATATATGATCATTTACTGTAAACAATAAGTATTGTGTATGGCTGAACGAATTTAAAAAAATGAAAATTAATGATAAATACAACGCTAATATAATGTGTTTTTAATTATTTTATTTAAATATTATCTATTTTAATTACTTACTTGTCTAACCCGTCTTAAATCGTACTTTAAAATGGAGCATTAAATTGCTACATTTTATATAATTGTATCGTATTTATACTGATTTATAAAATTTATATATAAATTAAACTGTAAATTTTTTATTGTTATAAAGAAATAAAGTAAAAAATTTTATTACAATTTATCAAAAATAATTGTAAGAGGAGAGCAACTCCATAGAATCTATAAATATACCCCATTGTTGGGAATGTCACAAATGTGATTTTACTCTTTTGAGAGTAAAATATAACATTGAGACTATAACTTTTTATGAACGAGTCATTAAAATTTTACTACGAAGTAAAAAAAAAGAATGATCTATTTAAGTCACCTGAGAGAAAAGAAGCACCCATAAAACCTGCCTAGAATTTTCTGTTTAGAAAAGACAACTCGACCCTCTTTTATTTTCTATTCAAAGTGTTTAAAAAGTTAAGTTTGCAGCCCCCCTTTACAAAGAAAATGAACACTTATAAACCTAAATTTAGAATTTTTAGAAGATTTAAAAGTTAAACAACACCCTAAAAAAAAAAACAATGACTCTAAATAGGACGTGACGATTCGTCCGTAATTTATGATGTATCAGAAATTAGATTACTCATTTTTTAGCGATAATTGATGAAAGAGTTAAGATAATCTATCCTACGATCACTTAACACACGATCCTTTCGATAGAGATGCTTCTAACAGGAAAAACAAACTTCCTGAACATCTTCAATTAACAATCTACTCAAGTAGCTACATTACTAAATATAGGGCAATATTAATGTCCATAATTGAAATCGTGATTTGAATAAAATATTTAATTATTAATTAAGTTAACTGTAATCATGCAACCGTCATAAAATCGCATCCTTAAATGTAAATTTACAAGGCTAATTATTATTTAAACGGTATAAAAATTACTATATTAATTAATTAAGTAAGCTGGCCAAGGTTATAATAGTATAAACACCTATGATTAAGAAGAATGCATTGTTACCTCGTTCTCTTCAAGATCCATCTCTAGAAATTTGATTTGGGAAAGATGCAACTGCTACTGTCTTTGCTTCTGCAGTTCTTCTATGGTAGTTTGTAGGTCAATAGAAAATCGGAGGTGTTTGACACTACGTACGCTGCGCACGCAACTAGGAAGATCTGACATAAGCCGAGACAGGGTCACGTGTATAAACAAGAATTGAAGTCTATGATTTCATTTCCGTGTTTAAATAAGGAATCGAAACGATCTTCTACACAATACTAACAGATGGATGGATGGATACAAATTGACATAGGCTTTACTACTACACGTTGACTTTATTGTCTAATTCAACCGAAGTTAAGAGGTATACTTTTGTTGGGAACCCACCCGTGTAGCTTTAAAATAGATTAATATAAATAACCGAAAATCACAGATGCTTATACTGTTCATGCCCGATGATTTTATAAAGATAGAAACGTTCCTGCGAATGGACGGTATTTCGTTATCAAGGTAAATTAATCTAACAGATTAGAGGATTTATAAATTAAAAAATGTTGCAGGGAAAAATATTTTAATTTGGAATGACACCACCTCCCAACAACGGCAATCTGTATACGGCGGACATTTTTTAAATGCATACAAAATAACCATTCTTTTATGTTCCCAGTGACCATTCAGGTGTTTAACTATGGCTAGATTTTTTTTTCTTTGTTTTACGCCATACATATGAGATTGTTGTAATATTAAACATCTAAAATAAAAAATAAAACAAGTTTTTCATTAATAAGTTATGTCGATTTATGTTTTTAATTTGACTTTTCTCACGTTCTAACTATTGAATATACTGTCAAACTTTCTGAAACTGGCATTAAGTCGAGTATGGCGTTAAATTGAAATATCTCAAACAACAAGAATGATATATAGTAATGAGATTTACACAAAAGTTTAGGTGTGATAGTCAATAAGTCACATGAAATTTTGGACGCGCTAAATCGCGGTCTGATTAATTTATCATCATTGAATTTACGTTAAAGCAATATTAAGTTAATATTGCTTTAACGTAAATTTACTTAAATTGATTATAATTTATTCAGTGTATCTATTTTATAGTAATTAAAATGCATAAAATAATGTGAAAACTGAAACGGTTGATTGCCTTATTATGCAAATTTCTTTTTATAATAGGAGGAAAGTGGAATAGACAATGGCGCTTAAATTGCGCCATTGTCTATTTCACTTTCCTCACACTTTAAATTCATACTTAAATAATCGATTGAAACAAATGTGTGGTTATTTAAAATTTTTATATTACATTTTTTTACATGGGAAATTTATAATGGTATTTTCCTTGTATTGATATTTTTAAAATTATAATCGATATTAGATTATAAAGATTTAGTTGAGTCTCTAAATTGATCGCTGTTTTCCATTAGTTTCTGTTTTGTGCATTTATCCACATTCAGTAGCGTAACAAGGGAGTGGTCCAAAAGGCCCGAATCCACTACCTTTACAAATAAATAAGTACAGTACTGTACATGAAAATGAATGTGACGAATGCGCTTACCGTATTTACAATATCTAAGAGTTTCATCTACAGTGATTCAAGAGTGAAAGTAAGTTTGCACGTCCTAATTCGGACCCCCCACCATAATATTGCTACTTTCTACATTTTATAGAATCTAGGAAAGGTAATTTTGAAGAGCAAGGATTTATTCAGGTAATTCGGGATCTTCCTCTTTGCGTTCTTCCACCCATTTTTTATGATAATGATAAAATTTATTTTAAACACAAACATACATTTAATA